GTTCAGCTCTGATATTTCTTTGTTGATTTTTTTTTTCTGTCTAGTTGACCTATTTATGATAGTGAAATTTTCATATTTCCTATTATAATTGCAGCAGTGCTTATTTGATTTTTAAAATCCATTAATATTTATTTTATATAGTTGGATGAATTGGTATTTAATGCATATGTATTTATGAGTGTTATGTCTTAATTTGCTATCCCGTTTATTGATTCTTGATACTGTTTCTTGTCATTGGATTGTGTTCAGAAAGTCCTTGCCTACACCTATCCTCAAGAGTTGTGCCTATTTTATCTTCTAGCAGATTGTGTTTCTACTTTAATATTTATATCTTTGATCCATTTTTATCTTAGTTTAGTACATGATGAGGTACAGCATAGGCATCTAGATTCAATCTTCTGCATGTGTATACTCAGTTTTCCTGGCCTACTTTTCCATTAATTAAAGAGACTGTCTTTCCTACAGCATATGTTTTGGCTCCTTTGTCAAAGATAGTTTGTTATGATTTATATTAGCTGTCCCATCAAAGTGCCATGCATGTGCAGGTGGGTCTCTTGTGAGGAGACCAGATCATGGATGTGTGACACTGGGTCCATCCACTGAGGGCTTTAGAGCTGGGTGTGAGGTTGGGAGATGATGCCTGGTGGACAGAGGCCTGTCGCTGTGGGTGTGGCCTAGAAGGACACACATGGATATCTCCCTCCCCTTCCTTGATGCCTTGCTCTCTGCTTCCCACCGCCATGCAGCGAGCAAGCCTCTTCTGCTGTGCTTCTCTGCCATGTTACTGTACCTTGTAAAGAACTAAAATCTCTACAAACTGAATTAAAATACACCTTTCTGCCTTTAGGTTATTTTGTCCCAGCAATATGAAAGTAACTAAAACATAGTCAGATGTACGTGGGTTTGTCTCTGCATCCTCTCTGCTCCGTTGGTCTTCATGTCTGCTTTTGCCAGTACTATGCTGTTTTTCTTATCTGTACCTTTGGGATATCATTTCAGATTTAAGATTGTGATCTTGGGGACTGGGGAGCTAGCTCAGTGGCATAAGCACCTGCCTGGCAAGCTAAAGGTCCTGAGTTTAATCCCCAGTCCCAAAAATAAATAAATAAGTAAATAAACAACTGAATGAATGAATGAATGATGGATTTACAAGATTGTGATGCTTGCTACTTTTTTCTTGTTATCCAAGATTGCCTTTGCTATGCTAGATCTCTGGTTCCACATGAATTTTAGGATGGTTTTGTCCATTTTCACAAAGATTGTTATTGGTATTTTGATTGGGATTTTGTTAAATCTGTGTATCAATTTTGGAAGTACTGTGTGACCATTTTGACTATATTAGTTCTGTCTATCCAAGAATCAGAGGAGTACCTTTCCATTTTCTGGTGCCTTGTATTTTCTTTTTCTTTCTTTTTTTTGAGTACTGTAGTTTTCATTGTAGGGGCCTTTCACTTCCTTAGGTTAATTCCTACATATTTAATTTTTCTTGGTGTTATTATGAACAGTCATTTTTTCATAAATTTCTTTTCTAGGAATGCTGTTGATTTTTTTGTGTTAATTTTGTATCCTGCCACATTGGTGAATTTGATGGATTATTTTTTGTTACATGTGGTTAAGGGTTTGCCTATTTTGTTTATTCTTTCAAAAAACCTACTCTTGAATTAACTGATTCTTTGGAGGTGGGAGTTGTAGACTAGGTTTCTTAATATGCAGTCTCAGGGCAACGTTCTAAGAGTACAAGCCCTAATGCAAAAACACTTCTCTTGTATGTTTGAACCACATTTGCCAATGTCTCCTTGACCAAACTGGTCGCGTAGTCACACTCAGAGCCAGTGGAAGAGGAGATCACACACAGTGTGGATATCAGGAGGAGAGAGACTCAGCTGGTTAAATAGTCTCCCGTGGTACACTCTCTGACCCAAAAGATTTACATTCTTTGCATGGGCAAAATATGCTCACTCCCAAGACTCCCACATTGTCGTTTATTTCATGGCATCCGGGAACACATGATTTGCGCAAGGACATGTCTAAATGTGGACATGTCTCCATGGATGCACTTCCTCTTGATTCAGAACCTAGAAACTAAAAGTGCATATCTATCCAGTAAACACCAGTGACTCTGGAACAAGATAATCATAAATGTCATTTTCATTAAAAAAGAGAAAAATGCAAGGTCCATAGCAATTTTGTAATGTAGCCAAGTGCATCTTGCCAGAGCCACTAGTTGTATGAGCACATAGTGGTTTGGTTTGGTTTGGCTTAATCTTTCTGAGACAGGATCTCACTATTCAGTTCAGGCTGGCTTTGAACTCACTTTGTAGCTCAGGCCAGCCTCAAAATCCTAGCAGTCCTCCTGCCATAGCCTGCCAAGTGCTGAGATGACAGGTGTGCGCCACCATGCCTGGCTTTCACAGAATGGTTTTGTTTGTTTGTTTGTTTGTTTGGCTTTTTGGGTTTTTAAAATTATAGCACAGTTCTCAATGGAAGTGGTTTCCCAATTCTGTGGCTGTTGTCTGCTGAGCTATCTTTTCAGTGAAAAATGATTCAAACATCCAGCTTAGTGGCAGTCTCCGCCTGTGTGTTGTTGATAGTAAGCAGGGGCAGGAGTCCAGAAGCATTTTTCCCTGCATTTTATGCTGTCTCTGTTATGTTTAGCCCAAATGCATACAGCTTCTTTGAAAGCTTTTTAGAATTTCTAGGAATCTGACCTGGAATTCACTCTATGGCCTACAAGCCATTCCCATGATTCTTTTTGAGACAGGTATTTCTATTTTAAACTGAGAATGAGTCTGCTGAGGAACAATACCCTTAAAAGCTGTAAGAGTTTTAAGCCTTTGCCTCCCTTATATTGTATGCAGGCTACCTGCCCCAGGACAGCTGTAACATTCACACCCATAATCTTAGCATTGGACCATGAATCAATCACGACCTGCCATGACTGCATGAGGCTTTGGAGGGATGATGAGACACAAGCTATAACACAAATCTTTGCTTCTTTTTCCCAATTATGCTTGTAAACTAACCAATTCTCTTAAACTCGTCTCTCAATTTTACTTTATAATATCTTGTTTACTTTTCTTGTTGCTGAGACAAAACCCCCAACATGTCAACAAAGTTAAAGGAGGAAAAGGTTTATTTGGCTTATAGTTCATAGAGGTGTCACTCCATAATCAGCTGCCTCCAAGGCAGGGTGGAATATCAGAGGGGCATCAACAGAGGAGAAGCAGTCCATGGGAGAGCAGGGTAGGAAGAAGGCAGCAAACAGCAGGTCAACAGTACTAGCCCTCTTTCTGGTACACCCAGGGTGGGCATCCTTAACCCTACCCAGAACTATACCTAACCAGCCAGTGGACTCATTTAGTAATCACATCTCTTTGATCCCAGCATCATGCACTCTAGATCCAGCCACCTCCCAGAAGCCCCACCTCTGACCACATGAAGCTTTGGGGAGACATCTAGATATAAGTCATAACAGCAACTAAAGCCAACTGATACTTTTGACATTCTGCCTAGAAATCTTACCTATATCCCTAAATTTCTTAGATATCATAGATTGCAGATATTGAACTACATCATTCAAGTTACTATAGGAAACAGTTTTTTCAGTTGTTATATATCTTATGACACAGTGTATTCTTTTTCAGTCTTCTAATAGCAATTCTGCCTGTGTCACCAGCCCCTACCTTTTAGACTTGAAGCCACTGGCACACAGGCCTTCTTATATCTTTATTTATTTAATTGGTACAGGGTCTAGCTGTGTAGCTGTCATTTTTATCATAGTGATCTTCCTGTTTTAGCCTCCCCAGCATTGGGATTACAGGCCTGTGCCACCACACCTGGTTTCATGGCCAGCACAGCGTGCAATACCTGGGATTGAGCCTGGGTCTTTGAGCTTGCCAGGCAGGTACTTAGACTGCCAAGCTATCTCCTCAGCCCTCATTCTATATTTTAGTGACTTGAAACAGCCACTGTATTTCTTAGCATTCTATGAATTGACTGGGTGGTTCTTCTGTCCACAGCCATACCTTAGCAAGGTTAGGCTTTGCTTCTGTCATGTTTGATGACACGAGTCACCTGGCCAAGCCTAGTGTTAATGTGGAGAGGGCTGCACAGGAGCATGGAAATCAAGTGGCATGACTTATGCATGGCCATTTGTGATGTTAGATGCCAGTGGGTTTCCAGCTCTGCATTACTGTGTGTCCTTGAAAAGTCATTTTACTTGTGCACACCCATTTTCTCACCTATAAAAGGAAGTTAGTAATACCCATTATAGGGTTCTTTTAAGGTTTACAGTTTTAGTCATTGGCTTTTTTGTGTTTTCAAGACTTTTGTCATTATACAAGTGTATGAACTACAGAAAAAGCCAAAATTTCATCTGATACAATACTATACTATAAGTTTCTCAGGGCCTTTTCTATTTATTTTTCACTATAAGTGTGTGTGTGTGTGTGTGTGTGTGTGTGTGTGTGTGTGTTGTGTTTGTGTGTATTACTATAGGTAATATAATAAGCTTATATATGTGTAGCTGTATATAGAGATATACAAATTAATTTTTCCTTATTCTGTAAGGAAGAGACTTCACTTTATTCATCATCTCTTGAATCCCATAATTTTACATTTAGGATTAAGAGAGATAATGTACATATAGTACTTGGACTGGTGTCTGGCACAGATATTTCCAATTAAGTTGGTATTCCATTAAATATGATCGGAAATTCTCAAAAATCTTGAAGCTACAAGAGAGCAAAATATCTCAAGTGGTGCCGCATCAGGGGACTCTCCATGGGCCAGCCCCTCTCTAAGATATCCCAGTGACATGAGGTATAGCAAGTGAGATCTGAAACTCCTCAGTGGGGGGCCCTCTGTTAAAAGCTTCATTTATTAAAAAGAAAAATTCCCCCAAAGGAATCTATGGAATATTTTATTGGTGAAGACTAACGGCTGACATTAGGGAAAGAATTACATGCTTGGTACTCAAACAAGTCTTATCTTTGTTTTAGTCAGAGAAGTTTGGCAGAGATCACAGAACTTATCCATACTGCTCTCCTTGTGCATCGTGGGATAGTAAACTTAAGTGAGTTGCAGTCTTCTGATGGACCGCGGAAGGACATGCAGTTTGGAAATAAGATAGCCATCCTGAGTGGAGACTTCCTTCTGGCAAACGCCTGCAGTGGACTAGCTCTGCTACAGAACACCAAGGTAAAAGTGGACAGGGCTGGCGTGTGGCCGGAGAGCGCTCAGGCCTGCGGACCTCCTGCCCACCTTCCCCTTTGTAGATGCTCAGTAAAACCCTGAGGAGATGATGAAGGCAGGTAAAGCTGGTAAATACTAGAAAGGAGTTTTTAATTTAGTTTCAATTTTTTCTCATTGTGAATAGAATTATGTATTATATTATATTACTAGATATTCACAATTTAAACTATATAAATAAATACTATCTATAACTTCACTAGCCAGTGGATTCATTGTTTTTATATATTTCCTTCTCTTTGTGTTATTCCTCATTCACACCTTTATAAATAGGGATTTTTTTTTTGTAACATTGGTGAGAGCTTTTAAAAGTTTTGTTTTGTTCTGCCTTATTTTCCCCCCTTCATATTATGATGTGGGCTTATCCCTATGTTAGCATTTTCATACACATTTTTTTGAGACAGGGTCTTGCTATCCAGCTCAGGCTGACCTTGAACTTAATATGTAGCCAAGGCTGGCCTCAAACTTGAGCACTTCTCTTGCCTCAGCCTTCCAAGTGCTGGGATTACAGGTGCATACCACCAAACCTGGCTTTCATACACTTTTTAATGATGCCATAATATTTAGATATTATATTGTTTAACAAATTCCTCACACTTGGGAGGCTGAGGCAGGAGGATCGCTGGGAGTTCAAAGCCAGACTAAACTACATAGTGAGACACTATCTCAAATAGTATAAACAAAAAATCCCAGATTCCTCATTTTCCAACATTTAGTCTGCCTTGGTTTTTTTTTTTGGCAGAACCGGGGATTGAACTCAGGCTGTTGCACTTGCCAGGGAAGCGCTTATTCCACTGAGCCATCTCCCCAGCCCCTTGCCTTGTATTTTTTATTATCATAGATTTATAAGAAATATCTTTATATATCAGTTTTCTGCATTCCAGATTATTTAATGTATTTAAGAGAAAAACCTAAGGGCTGGATATGTAGTGTAGTGTCAGAATGCTTGACTTGTGTCTGTGTAGCTCTGAATTCACTTCCCAGCACTACAAATAAAGGAAAGAAATGGTAAATAATAATAATAATAATAATAATAATAATAATAAAACAGTGCCTAAAAGTACTTTATAGGTCTTACACATTTTGCCAAGCTGATTTCTGGAAAGGTTATGGCCTATTCCTTCTACAGCAGGATTAATCTTGACTACAAGTGACATTGGTCTAAATAAAGGAGGAGCTCATTCTCTCATGAGCTCTGGTCTTCCTGTGCCACCATCCTTGTCTTACCACATCATGGACCCGGATGGTTGCCATTGCGTCTTCACTGCAGTCACCAGGAGGAAGGAGGAGGACAAGCTAAGAAGGGCAGATCACCTCTTCAAATCCAGCTGAGGGCACATCCGAGTTTGCAAAGAACAGTCTCAGTTTAGGCTGCTGGATCAGAGTCCCACATGACGTGGCTGTTGTTCAGGATTTTTCTTTTTTTAATGGAGATGTGTTACTAATAATTACAGTAGAATAACTGGGGACAGGTTTTCCAGATTCCCTCATTCTTCTAGCCTTTGCCTTAGTTTTTGTCTAGTATATTATAATGGTATTGTGAGGTCTGTATGCAGGGTGAGTTCTCACTTTAAGGTGTTATTAAATCTGAAAGATAACCAGTAATGTCTCTTTCTTGGCCCTTTTAGCCACAATGTACTAATACCTAATCAGGGACAGAGTGCAGGCAATGCTGAAACAACAAAGTGCACTCAGACACAAGCATCTAGTGACAGCTAATGCCTTCCTGTATCAGGGGTTGGGAAAAGTATGTGTTTGAAACTGCTGCCCCACTTGGTGTAAAAATCAATTACATGGCCTGCAAGAGTCACAAAGCTACACTCAGTGGGAAACAAAGGTTTAATGTCTGTAAAATTCTGTACAAATGGGAAATTAGGACTGGTCAGTTCTATTATAGAACTGGTAGTGGCTGAGCACACTTGCTCGTATTGTGTAAATCTGTAACAGCTTTATTGCTGACACATTTTTTGGCAGTAGCAAGCCAAAAAAATTCAAACGTTTTATATTTTTTTAAATTACTGAAATTTTGTTTCTCAAGAGAGTTGAGAAGAAATGTGTAACTTGCACAAAATGCTTGCTGACATTTGCTAACCACTGTAGGGACCTTTGTGGTATCACCAACCAACTACATGAAAACAGTCAAAACTGCTGGAGAGGTCTCAGGATCTACCTCAAACCTTAGCAGTTAAACTAGGAAAACCCACTGAAGACAGTGACTTAACCCCTGCAGCCACAGCTTGTGTGTACTGTATGCATACTGCTCCATGAAACAGCCTTTACTTAGGTACCTCGCTACTCTTCTACATTAGCTTCAGTCACTGTCAACTGCAAGTTCTTACATGCACATAAGGGAAAAGGAAACTGTGGTTCTTGTGCTCGTTGGATGCATGAGCAGAGCTGTGCAGCCATTAAGTAATTAGAGTTTTAGTTCAGTGTCATCAGATGCTTCAAATAATCAACTCATTTAAATGAATTCTAAAATTGGTTTGAATTTTTTCTTTCCATTAATGGGGTCAAGGTAAAGCTTTTGTAAGTATAAAGCCTTTGCAGGTGAGATTGGAAATTCTGTTTAAAAGTGCAGTACTAAATGTGAAGTTATTACTTCATAATAACTATACAAGTATAAATTTTGGTGAAGCACAGGATTGTGGTAAAAATAATATCCCTCAATATTCGTACTGCACTAAAAATCTGTGACTGGAGCTATAGCTTGGTGGCACAGCACTGATCTGGGAAGCATGAGGTTCTGAGTTCAATTCCCGGTATTTAAAAAAAGGGAAAAACCTGTGGAATAGCTAGAATTGTTTGTGGCATACATATAATTTATAATACCATCTAAATATGCATCAGTATTCCTCTCAAATACAAGCTGTGGCTGTCTCAACATTTACGAATAACTTTACAGTGAGAGTTCCTGATCGTAAGTTTTGGGAGAAGTAGATAATGTGGGTGCAGAAATACATGTCAGCATAGCAGTGTGTGTATTGTTTAGGTGACATCAATCAGATCAGTCATCAAATGAGTAATGACATTTTCTGTAAAATCAATTGGGAATGAAACACAATATGAGGTTTTTAAGCAGAAAAAGTCTTCCATTGGAAAATTTCCCTACAAACCAAGGAAGTAACTAAACAAATCATGTACAAGATTAAAATTTTCAAATCTGTAGTAGTGATTTAAATATCACATTTTGGCTGGGTGTAGTAGTGCACGCCTGTAGTCTCAGCACTCAGTAGGCTGAGGCAGAGGACCACTGTGAATTGGAGGCCACCCTAGGCCACATAAGCAAGTGCAAGGCTAGTCTAAACTGCATAGTAATACACTGACCCAAACAAACAAAGCCATAAAGGAAGAATCTTTGGTGGTGCCCCTATGTTCAATAAATTGTATACACATGCACACAGGCAGGAAGGAAGGAAGGAGAAAAAGAAGAAAATGAAATTAAGAAGCCCTAGATTTTGCAGCATCTAAATTTGGCAAAACAATTAAAGCACCTGCAAGCAGGCACAGGGGCCGGGTTCCATCTCCAGGCTTGTCACGCTGACCCAGCCCCTGGGGCACGCTGAGACAGCAATTGAGACTGGGCGTGGTGGCACACATGCCTGTATTCCCAGCTCTGGGGAGGCTGTACACAAGTGGATCACTACAAGTCCGATCTAGTAGTGAGACCCTTAATACCCTGTAGACCCTTCCCTAAAATACAATAAATAAGTAGTGGCAAAACCAAAAAATTATAGAGACGATTTATTTGACAGAGTTTGTCTTGTGAAATATTTGTCAAGGATCCTTTGAAGGAGGCACAAGATAGTGCCTATGAAATATTTGGACTGCACTATTTTTAAAAATTAGAATTAATTTTGTCCTCCTTTTAAAAAATTTACTTTGAGTTTAATAGGTAACTCAAAACCTATAAGAACATTTTCCTAGTTTGAAATACTGGCTGGACAGATGGCTCAGTGGAATAAGTGCTTCCCTGGCAAATGCAAGGCCCTGAGTTCAATCCCCGGTTCTGCAAAAAAAAAAGGAAATACTATTGCCTTCCAAGAAGGATTAATTGAAAGTATGAATAATTGCAAATTAACCATAAAAATGCAACCAAACAATACTGCTTCAGTTTTATCTTATTATTTTTTAATGTATTTGATTATTGCGGGGTCTCGCTACACACCTGTGACTTGTGATCCTGCTTTTATCCTCTCCAACGCTGGGATTACAGGCATGTACCACTATGCCTGAACTCTGTGGCTGGCTCAGCCCTGCCTGGGGGCCCTGCTGTCATGGCATGTGGTGCTGGGAATCTGACTGCGGTCCCTGCGCTTGCCTAAACTTGCCTAAGCAGGCACTGAGCTATCTCACCAGCCCTAGTTTTATTTTCAAACATCATATTTTGTAAAACACATCTTGAGGACAACCTACTCAGGTCCCCTTTCTGTTCTTCTCTCAAACAGAAGCTTTCTCCCCTACCCCCATAAATATATTCAGCTCTTTAAAAAAAAAAAAAAAAATAGGGAAAAGCTAGTAACATAAATTTAGAAAAAAAAGTATAGTTAAAAAATAGAGTAGCCAAGCATGGTAGTACATGCCTATAATCCTTGCTCTTGGGTGAATGGCAGGAGAATCACATGAGTTCAAGGCCAGTTGGGCTACAAGTAAGTTGAAGGCCAGCCTGAACTGCACAGGGAGACCCTGGGTCAAAAAAAGGGAGAGGGAGGGAGAGGGAGGGAGACGGAGAGGGAGAGACGGAGGGGGAGGAGAGAGAGGGATAGAGAGAAAACTAAAGTATCATGTGTATCAGGAGTAATTATTCTAAGCCAGATACAGTAGTCCATGCCTACAGTACCAGCTACAGCAAGCTGAGCCAGGAGGCTTACAAATTTAGAAGTTTACAGCAGGAGACCAGGAGGCTGAGGCAAGAGGATCACAGCACATTTGAAGTCAGCCTGGGCTAC